TTTAGGGTTTAAGCTATTGTACAAAGAGACCATATTATTTACCATAGATGACATTATCTGTCTGGTGCTCAGCAGGGAATGGGGGAATGGATCCCTATGATAGTCCCTTAAGGTCCCTTATAGTAGTCCCTATACCCTAAACCCTAAACCCTTAAGGTCCCTTATGGTAGTCCGTATAACCCATTCCCCCATTCCCTACTAAGCACCAGAGAGAGGAGGTCTCCTGGAAGTTCTGGCAGAAGCAGCGCCTTGACGTTAGGCTTTAGAAGTTGACGACTTTTTGAGTTTAGGGTTTACGGCTCAGGGTTTAGGGTTTTGCTTAGGGTTTAGGGTAGTTTACGGTTGTTCAGGGCTGTTTGGGGTTCAGGGTTTTGTTTGGGATTTAGGGTTCTGTTTACGACTGAGGGCTGTTGGGGTTTAGGGCTGTTTAAGGTTTAGGGCTGCTTGGGGTTTAGGGTTTTGTTTAGGGTGTAGGGTTGTTTAGGGTTGTTTAGGGTTGAGGGTCGTCTAGGGTTGTTTAGGGTTTACGGTTGTTTAGGGTTTAGGGGTTAGGGTTATTTAGGGTTTAGGGTGGCTTTAGGATTTGGGCTTTTGGGGTGACTTTAGTTGACCCGGAGCAGGTGTTCAAGGTTTCAAGAGAAGGCTCGGGGGACGGCAAGGTACTTCGTGCTAGGAGGTTAAGTTTACGGTATAACTCGGACGTGAGCTCCCCTAAACCCTAAACCCTAAACCCTAAACCCTAAGCCCGAAACCTTACCCTAAGTGTTACACCTCAAAATCCTGATCCCGGGCAACCCGGAGCCCCGAAGAGGTGAAAGAGACTGGTGTGTTTCGGCTTCGGGTGTCCGTTATCAGGTTCCTTCCTAGGGTTTAGGGTTTAAGGTTTAGGGTTTAGGGTTTAAGGTTTAGGGTTTAAGGTTTAGGGTTTAGGGTTTAGGGTTTAGGGTTTAGGGTTTCCACTGTTCAGGGCCCTGGGTCCGTGGCCCAGTAAAAACAAAACTTCTGAACCCTAGGCCCGAAACCCAAATCACTGAGCCCTGCTCCTACTACTACTTCAACAGCAACAACAACAACAACTACTACTACTACTACTACTACTACTACTGCTACTACTACTACTACTACTACTACTACTACTAGTGCTACTACTACTGCTATTGCCACTGCTGCCACTTCTACCGCTACTATCCCTCCCCAGGTACTCTTTCCGCGACCAGTACGGCGTGGGCCTGGATCCGGAAGAGCTTCAGGAGCCGAAAAACGGGGGGGGGGGCTCCAGTCCCGACATTTCGACTCCTTGGAGATCTGCTGCAAATGCTGTTGCTTTTGAGAGAGGTTTGGAGATTAGAACTTGGGCTTCGGGGAGTTTGCGATTGGTGTGATTGGTGCATAGGGTTTTGCAGGGTTCGGGGTTTAGGGCAGAGGGTTTGGTACTACGTCCAGTGTCCAGTGTCCACCACGGCTTTGGCTAACGTCGATTCCTCCGGCTCGTTTTTGTCTGTCGCCTTGCATCGCAGGTGTGGCGTTTGGGGACGAGGGATTTAGGGTTGGGGATATGGACGAAGGACTAATTAGTTCAGTATTAGTTGAGTACGAGTTTAAGCGCCCTAAACCTTCTTATTTGTAAAATGTTTGTTATGAGTGAACGGTCCGTCAATCTCAACAGAAGCCTTCCAAGAGGAGCTGTGGATGGCACTGCAGAGAGACCCGGGCCTCCTGCGCACTTACGTGAGCCACATGTTCTCTCAGACCGTAGGCTCGACCTCGATGTGTGTGTGTGTCTGTCCCTCAACCCTAGGCCCCTAAACCCAAGGCCCAAAAATATACAATACCAGTTTAGTGTAGGTAGTAGTTGGATTGCGAAATGCCCGGTTATGTATTTCCGCAATCATTCGGATTGTATTATAAAAGTTGAAACAACAAAAAACAGGGCTTTGTGAATACAAGCCCAAGGCCCACAACCCTAAACCGTAAACCCTGGCTGTTGTTGAACGCTTGACCTCATCCAAGGGGTTTCCGTTCAGAGTTTCTGTGGGTTTTGCTTTTCGAGCTTCGGGCTATTCTGGATTCAGTGTTTTCTGCACAGGCAACTACGATTACTTCGACTACATCTGCGACATGCGCTACCTTTCGGAGGAGTATTTCAATTCTTGGTACATATATATATATATATATATAGAGTTTTTTAAGTCATAAATACTGCTAAACCCTAAACCCTAAACCTAAAACCCTAAACCCTAAACCCTAAACCCTAAACCCTACACCCTAAACCCGCTAGTATTATATTATCATCTCCCTTTCGGAGGAGAAGAATGATGCCTGCTCGGCTCGGGGAGCTCTCCTGGAAAGCCCCCCTCCGCTTGAGCTGCGACACGCCATCGGGCCGACATCGTTGCTATCATCGAGGTGGCCTCGCTGTTTTTTGAAGCATGGTTTAGGGTTTAGGGTTTAGGGTATCAAGTAAGAGAAGCATTGTCTGGTAGGTACTGTCGGTATCAAGTAAGAGTTCAAAATAATAGTTTGAGTTTGAAGATTGTTCTTGCATACAGACAGGTCAGACGCCGAAGCTGCAGACACTTACGGCAGCATGCGCCTGGCCGTCTTGGGTGCCAGCCTAACCCTCAACTTGCTGCTGGGCTCAGTCGTCCTGTTGATGGTTCGAAGGCGGAGGCGAGAGGAGGCGGCCTCCTACATCGCCTTGCCGTGACGGCTGTTCCATGTTCCATGTGCAGTATGACGCAGAAAAAGGAGTGCGCCCTCTCGCCTCTCTGTTTTGTAAAGCATTCGGAACGATTTTGATTAGTAAGTTCCCGATACTACGTCAAATGCCTCGGGTTTCGACTTTGCCCAAGGGCGGGTTCAGTGTTTGGGCATGGGGTTTCAGGCCTAAGGATTTGGGTTTTGTTGTTTCGACGGTTTGGGGTTTAGCGGCTTAAGGGTTGGAGGGTTCAGGGTTTTGGGTTTGTTTGAGGAGCTTGTACTTAAAGGATCATGGGACTTAGTACGTAAGGTTATAAGTCCCTTAAATGGGGTTATACAAGTATAGCCACCCTAGTTATAACCCTACTTACTAAGTCCCATGATCCTTTAAATAAGGTTTGGAAAGGGCGTCGACTTACCCTAAACCCTAAACCCTAAACCCTACACCCCTGTAGCTCCAAGCGGAAGGGAGACGCGTCACTTGAGATGTCTTCGGGGCCAGGTCAATTGGGTTTGAACTTCGGTAACTGAGCTCCCCTAAACCCTAAACCCCCAAACCCCTAAACCCCTAAACCCTAAACCCTAAACCCCTAAACCCTACACCCTAAACCTCGAACACCGGGCTTTATGATTCGCACCGGGTTGTGGGGTGTGTATTCTGCTATAGTTTTGCTCAGGAATAGTATTGTTGGTCCCGGAGCGTCTTAAAGTCTCCGGTCGAATGGTTGGGAACCAAACCGTAAGCCCTGAGATCTGGGTTCAGGTATTCTACCCAAAACCCCAACCCCTAAACCTAAACCCTAAACC